ATTCCCTGTCCCTTGCCTGCCTCTCGCCCCCCCACCAGGCCGAGGGAGAGCTGCGGCTCCACGTGGAGCCAAACACTGCCGCGCTGCTCTGCGGGGGAGGAGGGAGCGGGAGGGACTCTGGCCGCTGGAGGCCCCAGTGGCTGCGAGCGGCTTTCAATCAGGCCCAGCTATCCAATCAGCCACCCCGCACTCTGCATGAGGGGAAGGGAAATCCTGGACATTTCTACTTTATTAGAAATCCCCCCCTCCCCCCAGACGGCTATTTAAAGCTGAAAAACCCGGACGGATGGTAACCCTAGTATCGGGGAATCATTTGTAAAAATCAAACAAACAAAAAATAACTTACTTTAGCTGAAACTGGATTCTTTTGGAATTTCAGTATGGGGGTGTTTTCGTTCATTTCTATGCACCCTTTAGATGACAATTATTTATTACATATGATACTGTATATAGGGTAGTACTGGACATAAAATGAAGGATTTTTTTAAATATAAAAGTTAAAATGGCTAAGCATCAGTTTAAACTAAGGCTAACTACAGAACAAATGACCAGAACAGACAAGTTTGTTAGGACAGAACTATTATTCACTTAGGTGAAATTTACACACTGCAAAGGGACAGTACAAGGCCTATGTACCATGTAGCTCACACTTTAAGCCCTCTTGAGTGTTTTCCTTCTACATTAGTGTGAATTTCACTGTAGGAAAAGAATAATTGCAATAGCTTAACTATCAAAAGGAGATCACGTTTCAGCTACAAAAGAGTTGGACAAAACTAATTAAAAAAAAATCAAGATTCACTTTTAATGTCTTACGTCTTGTTAAATTAATTAGAAACAAGGTTTGCTCCCTACTTGAAATTATTTAACTCGCTAAGTACAAGCTTTTTGTATTATTAGCCTTGTTAAAATGAGTGAAAGTTGTGTATAATTTCACACTTTTACAGCTAAAATAGTCGAGTCAAAATATACAATTTATGATGACACTTTAGAAGTGTGTAATTTTAAAACGGTCTTTAAGTCACTCAGCCATAAATCATTATTTATTATATATTGCCAAATGAGAGCTAGGTGCTTTATGGACATATGAGAACAAGGGCTGTGCTTCAAAGAATTTACAATCCATATTGAACTAAAACGCAAATTGGGAAGCCATCTAAAGTGTAACTGTGTGTTAATTTCCTTATGAGAGAAGATTTGTTTATATATTTTCTGATTGTTTTAAAGTTGCTAACACTGTAGTGTTAGATTAAGATGCTATCTACAGAGTAGATATATGCTGTTTGATACTCAAAACACTAAACAATAATGGAAAAAAAGTGTGTACCATGCACATTTTGAGACACCGTGGCTATAATCTTTCACTTGTGTTTGGTTTTGTGTTATATGATAGATGTAAATATGTTAAATTTAAAAGCTTATTTAAGAATAAAAATCATGCTGCCATTTAGTAGTGGGTTTTTTCATTCTTTACAGATTGGATGAAACAGTATAACTTACAAAAGTTTCACTGTTGGCTTCGTTTTGAAGCTATGTGCTAGCAGACTCGTGTTCATATAGTTTCTTCATAAAGGATAACATTGAATTAGCAGACAACTTTCTCAAGTTAGACTTTCATTGTGCAATATTGGAACTAACCCTATAAAACTAGCATCGTTACAAGATAAAGTATTCTAAAAAAATTTCAGTCTGGAGTTATTTTGTAAAGGTTTGTCATCTTCAATTTTATTCATTTTAATTTTATAAGTGCTGCAAATCACTTATTCTTTAAGATGTTCACTTTCTCTACTTTGAATTAGATTGCCATCTTGTGGCAGTCTAGGAAAGACTCAGAGGATTTCCAATGGACACAGGTAATAGAGCTTTTATATTTATGCAGGCTGCAGTCACTAGGGGGGTGATATAATACAAATTGTTTAGGTCTGACATTCCATGCAGTAGAATTCAATATACTCTGTTGTAGGAGGATACAGCAATAACCCTCAGCCTGACAAGACAGTGCTCACATAAATATTCCCCTCTTTTGGGCTTACTTTGTCTTTTATAATTTAAGTCTATTACCAGGGTAAACAAAACAAAAAACCCAAACCAGTCCTTTTGACAATTGTTTTCATCAAATTTTGACCCATAATTTGGACCTCAAATGTACTTTCACTCCATGGCTAAATATCAGAGACCCTTCTCCCCTCAAATACCAACTCATTTTTCATAACTTTTACAATATTTTCTGGCAACTCACAGGAGACTCATTATAGCTTATCTCAGAGTTTATTTTTAAATGACCAAAATCATTAGGGTTTACCTTACCAATTCCACAGCAAATTGCATTTGAAAAATAAAGTTCTGTTTGTGCAACACAAAAACTGTGTCGAACATATGTTTAAAGATTACTTTGGGGCTAAGAGCCTTACAAGGATCACTCACAAGGAATGTCTATGGGTGTTACCAAAACTTGGAAATACAGGTTTTATAATAGATTAGCAGCTCAGCCCATTAGCACTAATAGTCACTGCTCTAATTACCTACCTTCTTGATTTATTTAATGTACTGAACAGCCAGCCATTTGAAATATTTAAAAAGTGCTTGTCCTGCAGTACCAGTAGATAAAAGATTGCCAAGCAATACACACATCACAGCGTACAACAGAAAGGTTTTATAGCCCCACAGTCTACTTAAGGAAAGCGTGTATGTGGGAAGGAGTGAGAGAAGGGACAATGAACATGTATTTACATGAGATTTAAACTCGCAGAAGCAAGCCCCAGAAGTGCAATAGCTTGTTCCATAGTTCCAGGAATCATTGCCATTCAATAATTTGAACATTTAGGGCTAGAATGAAAGTTACTCTCATCCACTAATAAGGAGTCCATACCAGTAATTGCTTTCCCTCTATACTAGATGGTGCCTTGGGTGGGTGTGAAGGGGTCCATTCCCTGCTCCTTCCTCGCCACTCTCCACCCATCTGCATGAGAGGGGGGAGCAGCAACCCTGCAAAGGCTACTTTCCCCCTACACAGACCTGCAATGCAAGTAGCTCACCTTAGATAGACTTCATAACTGGTGTCTGGGGCAAGAGACAATTTTGCTCTAAAAGAAATGGAAGGACAGGGAACCTCCACTGACAATTAAGTCCAAGGTAGCCAGGAATGCACAGCAACCCTTTCCTTTATAGGAAACTATTTCAGACGGGCTGGTAAAGGGGAAAGGAAGTTGGACTGTGAAATTTTATATTCTGTGGCGGATGATGTTGGCATGCCGATAAAGCATTATAGTTATCTTAATCCAGAAAAAACTAAAAGGTATGAACAAACATCCTAGTTTATTGGACATCTTGCAATAAGGAGGAAGTACGTATGATAATATCCGGCAGGTTATTAGAAAAGGGCTCCATTCAAATGACCATGGAAATTTAAAACCTAAGAAACTGCAGCTGAACTGCTCAAAGCAGCCTCCAAAGTAATAAAAGCATAGGTTCAGTACTGCAGCTCATACTCATGCTAGTCCCATTAAAGTGAACCAAACAAAATGGCATGACCAAGGGCTGTAGGATTGGGCCCTAAATGAGGTTTATAGAAAAGAAAAAAACCAACAGCTCAGACACAAGGGAATAGCACACAACTCAAGTGTTCATGCACAATGAGAAACTCAAATAATTCCCTGACAACCACCATGAAACTGCACTCAGAACATGAAATATAAGGGGCCAGATCACAACTTGGTTTAAATGCAGCTACATCCACATATGTCTGCTGAAGATCTGGCAATGCAAGCAGAGTTTGGGGGTGGGGAGAAGACAGAATATGTTGTGTGTGTGAAGCTGTGACATAAGTAGAGGGCTGAAATCTCAAGATCCCTGCTCATCTCTTTTTAGTTGCTGATTGGGTGTGACAATGATGCCTTCAGCATAGACACTAGGTGGAAATGGAGTCCATCCTTGAATTGTTCTTTAAAAATATAAATCAATTCCACCTAGAATAGGACTCAAAGATTACTCTCCACTTCCAAAGGAGAAAACCCTCATGTTTGTCTGAGATATTAATGAGCGAATGTCACTTTGTCTGTGTAAAGAAAGCATGAATTTGTTGTGCTATTGTTTGTCCTACTACTAGCTCGAGGTCCTGGACAGATGCATTGCAAAGCTGGTGGATGCTTACAAATTGCTGTAGTAGAAGCAGAGCTTTTGTTTTCCCAACTCCTGGAATCTGCTGGACTGTCCGAAGTATTGATGCCTCCACTAGCTGGGAACATTTTTTATGAAGAAAGGGGTTACTAGTGTGATCCTTACTTTGCTCATGGACCTGAAACAAAAAGGAAAGTAGAAGCTGACCTCCATTTATTTAGCGGAGCCCTGGTTTCTGTTTTTCTTAGAGTATTTCATTTCATTTAGGTTAAAAAGGAAACTCTATAATCACTTCCATCCATTTACCAGTTAATATGCACTTTTCCAGAGTAACATGTAATGTAACTGTAAGTGTAAATGCTAGAACTTAGCTGAGAAAGACAGAGCCATGAGAAATATTAAGGGAAGAAAAGTGGAGTTATGCAGTCTACTGGCTGGGCCAAGATAACAGGTACAGGAGGACAAAAAACAGGGCAGACCGGAGGAGGGTAGTGACACCTGGCAGCCAGTCTCAAAGCATAGGTCTCAACTTCGTTATTTGCATTACTATAGCAACTAGGAGACTAGTCACCTTCTTCATACTCATCCATTCTTACTTCTATAGTCATGGGGGAGGGATGGAATAAGAACAGAAAAAGTCACTGACACTGATGCTGCAGACACCACCACAGCCCTGGACTGAAAATACAAACTTTGGGCTGCTCTCCTCTCACACTCCAAGCAATAGATTTTTAAGTGGTCAGTCTGCAAAAGACTCAGAAGTCAAAATTTAGGTATATAGTTGATTTTAAAAGGTATGCAGTGTTGAGAGTTTGAGGGCAGATCATGTATTATTTGTTGGTTTAACTATTCAACGGCTTCATCTGCTATAGACAGGATGTATGAAGTTTTGCATGCATTGAGAAAAAAAAGAGGAATGTCACTGGACTATGCCTCAGTAGGACACTCAAAGCAAATATGCAACATAATTGTTTAAAATCTATTTTGAGTGCTGATCAGTCATCAGTTCATGTTGATTAAAATGCAGTCCTTCTCTTAAGGAGGACACAAAAGTGGCATTTTGGGGTTTCATATTTAATGTAGTCCCAAGATTTCCCAATTAACTGTTCAAGTTTACAAAAAAAAGTTTTATAACGTCAGCCCTGTAAGCACAACCATAGGTCCAACATGTTCTTTTAATTTAATTCAGCACTTTTAATAAAGGTTCTAAAGCCAAACAACATCCTCACTACACCTGTGTAACTTTATTGTCTTCAGATTTCTCATTGATAACTGTGCAAACTCCATGGTCTTCAGTTGGATTTCACAAGGGTAACTGATTGTTCTGTAATTCAAGATTAGTACATGTTTCTGTTGATGGTGCACAAGAAGGAACAGAATCCAGCTTACTGTCTCCAATACATTGGCTTTGAAATATTAGAAGAAGCAAAAACCAGTATAAAAGATTATTTCAGACACAAAAGGGAAGCAAATGTGACCCTGAAAACACACTGGGATCAGTCAGTTTTCATAGTAAAACTAAATGTTACTTACATCAGGTCAGTGTTGTATTTTCTCGATTGAGGCTTTCATTTCTTGGGCTCTGCTCTGAAGTAACTCAAAGCAGAGCTTTGTCTTACCTGACCTTTATTACCAGCACCTCAGTTTTCTCAGCTGATTTCCTCACAATGAAGTGCCTTTGATTGCCTTACCAAAATGATTGGTTAAACATATATTTCCCATTAGTTTAGATGAAGGCCTGCCAAGTCTTAGAGAAAAATCTATTTGTTTCCTAATATGAATTAGCACTCTGATCCCACAATCTGCTGTTTCCCAGTACGTCAGACAACAAATAAATGAGCAATTGAGCAGGTGGAAATATAGCAGTGAGAGTACCAAATCTTAGAGACAACAAATATAAAGATAGGTATAGTACTCCTAGGCTGAGAAGACCTCAAAGCCCTAAACATGCACATACTGGTCAAAGAAGTTCAGTGAAGAAAGCTTGTTGGCATATTCTAATGGCACCTCAATGCATGCCCACATGGAGAATCCAAATTCAGTTTCCCCCAAGTTTGGCCCCTTGCTTCTTAAAGTGACAGGTGCTAGGAGTGACAAGGAGGGAGCGATGTTATTTTTGAGTGACCTCTCTATTCCACAGTCAATGCGCAAAGCAGAGTTGAAAATACAGGAGAGGATCATGTGTAACTCTTAACTTTGAATACAAGTTGCTGAGACATGAAAAAAGCAACACATTTTCAGGCTTAATCGATGTCTGCTCACTGACACAGACACTAGTACTTACTAGCTGAATAATAAGTTGAGATGCTTCTCCCTGATTGGCCACCGGAAGCAATGTCATTCCAAGTTCTAGCACAATAAACTTCTGCACTGCTGGAAAGTATTGATCACTTATCTGGGTTTTTTCAACTATCACAATCCCATGAAGACTGCTGGCCTTTGATAAAGAAAAACAACAGTGAGGGGAAACAAGTCTTACATCTAGCCATACTTCTCCAAATGGTTAAGCAACAGCTCTGCTCATCAGGGAGTCAATACCAAAGAAGGTGGAGAGGGAAATGTACATCAAACCCCTTTTTTCACCAGCCTAAAAAGGAGTCAATATGGGTCTAGGAACAACCCACAGGATTTGCTGCAATACTTTATTTGAAATACTAGAAAACAAGAGTGCTTAAACAGATTTAGTGGATGTTTAAGTCAGTTTTCAGATGGAAAACTTTTTTAATGAATTTAAGTCCAATAGGATACAAAATATTAATCAAAATCTGATTATTAGAATGTTTTCCATTTTTGAAGTTTAGGATAATGAACTGAATTCATTATTACTGTGGATTCTTCTATTAATGGATAAAAACCACAGGTTTTCTAATGGGAGCTTTTCCTTCTCCTGCCTTTAAAAAAATTTGTGTAGGACTTACATTTCTAAATCGAACAAGACGTCTTTTGAAGCTACTTCCTGCCACCAAATCTGCTTCCAAAATATACAAAATGCAAGATCTGTTTGAAAGATGAAAATCCACAAGTCCTAAGCCATCTTCAAGAATTAGCTTAATTTTCCCTTAAAAATAAGATTGTAAAAAGAAAATTGTAACAATAAAACCTAGTCTTATATTGCCTTGACAGATATTTTTTATTAAAATAGAGGAACTTCATGCTCCAGTCTTGCAAATACGTATGCATGTGGTTAAGTCCCACTGACTTCAGAAAGCTTGTTTGACTTTATATTGTATGCCTTACAAAAGTCTTCATTCTCTTCTGACTACATATTTTGAAAATTGGTGTCAAACTGTTTCCCTTAAAAAACGGAGGCCCCAATCCTGCAAAAATTGTTATTTGCATTACTGTAGAGCCTAGGAACCCTAGTCATGGACTAGAACCACACTGTGCTAGGCACTTTACAAACAGAACAAAAAAAAGACAGTCCCTGCCCCCAAAAGCATACAACCCAATATAAAACCCGAGAGATGTCTATAGACAGGAGAGTACAAGGAAACAGTGAGAGAATCTTGGTCAGCATGATAGGCAGTGCTCTCAGCACACCAGCAACCTAACTGCCATGATTTTTGTGTAGGCATCACAGCAAAGGAAAGTTCTAAGGAGAGATTTGAAGGAACACAATGAAGTGGTTTTGCAGATAATTACCAGAGCATGTGGGGCAGCATGAGAAATAGCACAAAGGTGCTTGTCTGAAATTTTAACAAGTGGTTGGCAGCATGGGCTGACTGGGGGCAGGAAAGAACATATTGATAGTGAGATATGATAGGTAGGGTGGAGATAGGAGGGATGCAAAGAGCAGTGACACAGTCAAAATGACAGGCTAGGAAAATGATTTTGCAGCAGCATTCTGAATGGATATCAGAGGGCAAGACTGCATTTCTCAAGGCCAGAGAGCAGGATGCTGCAGTAATCAAGACACAAGATATGAGAGCTTGGATGGCAGTTTTAGTTACTTTACTAAAATAAGACAAGAGATCTACATTACACACTTCACCTCTCTACAAAGGAAAAAGGACCGTAAGCTGTCTAAAATCCTACCTGCCTCATGGGGCAACAACAAGTACCCCTAACTCACCCAGCCATATCGTCAATTTATCCAGCTACACACTCAATCCAGCAGAAGAGTCTGTCCTATCTCGAGGACTCTCTTTTTGCCCCAATACCCCCACAAACATGATACAGTTCTGCGGTGATCTGGAAGCCTACTTTAGCCACCTCCGACTCAAAGAATACTTTCAGGATAACACTGAACAGTGCAGATACCCTCCCACCAACAACACAGGAAGGAGAACTCCACACGGACTCCTCCTGAGGGTCGAAATGACAGTCTGGACCTATATATAGAATGCTTCCGCTGACATGCACAGGCAGAAATTGTGGAAAAACAACATCGCTTGCCTCATAACCTAAGTCGTGCAGAACGCAATGCCATCCACAGCCTCAGAAACCACCCTGACATTATCATCAAAGAGGCTGATAAAGGAGGTGCTATTGTCATCATGAACAGGTCTGACTACCAGAAGGAGGCTGCCAGACAACACTCCAATACCAAATTCTACAGGCCACTTTCCTCAGATCCCACTGAGGAATACACTAAGAAACTGCACCATCTACTCAGGATACTCCCTACACTAACACAGGAACAAATCAACATACCCTTAGAGCCCCGACCGGGGTTATTCTATCTACTACCCAAGATCCACAAACCTGGAAATCCTGGACGCCCCATCATCTCGGGCATTGGCACTCTCACTGAAGGACTGTCTGGATATGTGGACTCCCTACTCAGACCCTATGCCACCAGCACTCCCAGCTATCTCCGTGACACCACTGATTTCCTGAAAAAACTACAATGCATTGGTGACCTCCCAGAAAACACCATCCTAGCCACCATGGATGTAGAGGCTCTCTACACAAACATCCCAAACACAGATGGAATACAAGCTATCAGGAACAGTATCCCTGATGATGACACAGCACAACTTGTTGCTGAGCTCTGTGACTTTATCCTCACGCACAATTATTTCAAATGTGGTGACAATATATACCTCCAGACCAGCGGCACCACTATGGGCACCTGCATGGCTCCACAATATGCCAATATTTTTATGGCTGACCTGGAACAACGCTTCCTCAGCTCTCGTCCACTCACGCCCCTTCTCTACCTACGCTACATTGATGACATCTTCATCATCTGGACCCATGGGAACGAGACCCTGGAAAAATTCCACCATGATTTCAACAGCTTCCACCCCACCATCAACCTCAGCCTGGACCAATCTACACGGGAGGTCCACTTCCTAGACACCACAGTACAAATAAGCGATGGCCACGTTAACACCACCTGATATCGAAAACCCACTGACCGCTATGCCTACCTTTATGCCTCCAGCTTCCACCCCGGACACACCACACGATCCATCGTCTACAGCCAAGCGCTGAGGTACAGCTGCACCTGCTCCAACCCCTCAGACAGAGACCAACACCTACAAGATCTTCACCAAGCATTCTCAAAACTACAATACCCACACAAGGAAATAAAGAAACAAATCAACAGAGTCAGACGTGTACCCAGAAACCTCCTGCTACAAGACAGGCCCAAAAAAGAAACCAACAGAACTCCACTGGCCATCACTTGCAGTCCTCAGCTTAAACCTCTCCAACGCATCATCAGTGATCTACAACCCATCCTGGACAATGATCCCTTACTTTCACAGACCTTGGGAGGCAGGCCAGTCCTCGCCCACAGACAACCCACCAACCTTAAGCATATTCTCACCAGCAACCAGACACCGCACCATAACAACTCTAACTCAGGAACCAACCCGTGCAACAAACCTCGATGCCAACTCTGCCCACATATCTACACCAGCAACACCATCACAGGACCTAACCAGATCAGCTACAACATCACCAGCTCATTCACCTGCATGTCCACCAATGTTATATATGCCATCATGTGCCAGCAATGCCCCCTGCTATGTACATTGGCCAAACTGGACAGTCACTACGCAAGAGGATAAATGGACACAAGTCAGGTATCAGGAATGGCAATATACAAAAACCTGTAGGAGAACACTTCAACCTCCCTGGCCACACAATAGCAGATGTAAAGGTAGCCATCTTACAGCAAAAAAACTTCAGGACCAGACTCCAAAGAGAAACTGCTGAACTCCAGTTCATTTGCAAATTTGACACCACCAGATCAGGATTAAACAAAGACTGTGAATGGCTATCCAACTACAGAAGCAGTTTCTCCTCCCTTGGTGTTCACACCTCAACTGCTAGCAGAACACCTCACCCTCCCTGATTGAACTAACCTCGTTATCTCCATACTGATTTATACCTGCCTCTGGAAATTTCCATTACTTAAATCTGAAGAAGTGAGGTTCTTACCCATGAAAGCTTATGCTCCCTATACTTCTGTTAGTCTTAAAGGTGCCACAGGACCCTCTGTTGAGTTTTAGTTATGTGGATGACGGTGACCACCAAAAATGGAAAGCACACCAACGAGCCAGAAAAGCTGATCTGAGAGCCAAGGAAAGGGAGGCAGAAACCTGTAGCATTTTACAGTGGCACTGGTAAAATAGTTTTAAGTGATTTTTAAGTGAAAAGGCTGGGAACAGTCAAAGAAAGGTTACAGTTTTATTATTTTGTTTATTTTGGGAAAGAACTAGAACAAAGGAAAGCATAACGTTAAGATGAATAAGGAGCAGAAAAGACCAGAGACTGAACCCCAAGGGCTCAATTTGACTCTAGAAACAAAAGATGATACTTTAAGATACAAAAAGTCTTTTTTTTATGTCCTTAAGTTATCTTTCACCTAAGCAGACAAGGAAAACCAACACCTTGGCCCCTGCAGGGATCCTAGCTAAGAATTAGCCAGCTATTGAGAGGAAAGGAAGATGGGTGAAGAAGCTACCTTGAACAGACTGTAACTTGTTAAGGTAGGTTTTAACCATGAGAAAGTGTATTTTTACTTTTGCTTCTGTAACCAATTCTATCTTTATTCCTTCTACCTGGTATCACTTAACTTATGTCCTTTCATTAATAAACCTGTTTTATTTTTTATTATAAACCAACTCAGTGCAGTGTTTGAAGGGAAGGGTGTGTTAACCCCAGTTAAGTTAATAATCTGTAATGTACTGACTCTTTAAAAGAGCAGAGAACTTAATATCTTCTGCAAATGTATAGTGATAAATGCTGTGCCTTGCAGAGTGACATCTCTGAGGAGCTCAGGGGCTGGAATTCAGTGATTGTTACCTGCTAGGCAAGGGTTAAGACTGGTAGAGTCTCGAGGAATTTGCTGGTAGGGAAGACAGGCTGATGTGGCAAAGAGCTGACAATCTAATCTACAGCAAAGCTCACTCTCGGTGAGGCAGAGAAAACACAGTGCCTCACAGCTCTGGATATCCCCAGCAACATGTTATGATAATCTGAATTTGAGGACCTAGAGAGGTCCGAGTCGAAAAGGACACCCAGGACATGGATCTGAGTGACAGGCAGGATGGTAGTGTTGTCCACAGTGATCAATAAATGAGGTAGCAAGGAGATGTATGCATGCGGAGCTTAGCTTTAGCCATGTTAAGCTCAGTCAATGACTAGACATCTGCAAGATGTCAGAGAGTTAAGCAGAGTTTTTAGTTTGGACAGAGAAGAAAAATCTGAAGTAGAAGTGTATCTGTGAGTTGTCAGCATAGAGATGGTAGTTTGTGTTTGTGAGTGAGACTACCCAGAGATAAGGTGGAGAAGGAGAAAAGAAGGGGACCAAGGACGGAGCCCTGTGGAACCCCCACAGAAAGCTGGTGGGGAGGGAGGGGAAGAGAAGGATCATCTGAAGGAGTGATTATAAAAGTAGAAGAACCAGGAGAGGACAGAGTCACGGAAGCCAAGAGAGGACATATTTAAAAAACAGCACAGTCTACAGTGTTGGAGGTAGCTGACAGGCCAAGGGGGATGAGGATGCAGTAGTGGTTCTGAGATTTGGCTAAGAAGAGGTAATTAGAGAGTTTGGAAAAAAAGGGGTTTCAGTTGAGTGCAAGGGGCAGAAACCAGAGTGGAGAGGGTCCAGGATAGAACTGGAGAAGAGACGCTTCAAACAGCAACTGTAAAGAGCTCCATTCAATGAACTTAGAGATAAAAGGGAGAAAGGGTGATAGATGGAGAAGCACGTGGAGTCAGGGGCAGTTTTAAGATGGGAAAGACTGACGCATGTTTGCATTGCGAGGAGAAAGAGTCAGAGGGGAATGGGAGGCTGGCATTACTCATGTTAACTTTGAAAATATATAGTCAAAGAATGGGGGCTCTCTTCAGTAAAGCACATTTTGAACAAAAAACAAGCTTTTTGTTATGACTTTCCACTAACTTCTATGTGATTCTAAAAGTATCTCCTAAATATGACTTGATCCTGAACCTAGACACCCTAATGTGGTCTCTATACCCAGGTAGAGCCCAGGGACTTCAATGGGGTCTACCCTCATGGATCCATTTGCAGGACTTGGGCCTATGTTTGTAAAGAATAGAATTCTAATACACGTTACTGGCAGCTTCTCATTTGTATTGCACAGAGAGTGAGCGTGACTGGACTGAAGCTAGGATATGGAAAACAATGTTATGATGGACAAATGGGAACTTTTAAGCCAGTACAATTGCAGTTTACTTTATTTTAAAATTCTATATAAGATAAAGCTGATTGCTTGATTAGCTGGAATCAGTATTAAAACTGCTTTGAAAAGAGTTACTCTACATGTAGACTAGTTTATACATTTTTGTGCTCTATTTAGATGCTTACCTTGTAATCCTTGAGCTATCTGTGACCCTCTCCATTTCTCATTTCCAATCACATGTCCGTAAGGGACACTAACAGCTCCTACTTCATCAGGAGTGGTTTCTTTTGCTGTCATTTAAACTCCTTTTACATGTTATTTACCAGCAGCTAAACAGGGGAATGTGAAAAATGTTATTTCATCCCTTACCACCCAGCCTCAAAATTCATCCAACAGTCTAGTCTGGCTGCAATCATCTACAACAGGTTCTAGCCAGTCCTTAAAAATGCACTATATTAGTTGGTTAAAATAATAAAACTGGAGATGAAGGATATTTTTGTGGTTCAAACACAGGCCTAGAAATCAGGAGAGGTAGGTTCTGTTCCCAGCTCTGCCATCAATTGAAAAAAAACCCCCAAATTTAAAGTTCAGCCCCACAATTTCATCTATCAGCCTTCAAAAGCCCTTTCAATCCCTTCAGTTGTCTCTAAAAGTTTTTTTTTGTATTTTTAATAGAAAGGTCACTGAAGAAATATTTGCCAAGTGGTCAAAAATCCAGAGTCAGGCTCTGAGAAATGAGATTAGCTTAAACTATATTTTTTTAATTTTGTCCTCTAGTTTTGAGCCTTTAGGGCTCACCTCACCTTTCCAAGCTGCAACCATGAGGGCTAGCAACATACTTAGGTTGCCCTGTAATCACATGACTCCAAGCAACAAGACTAAGAAAAAGCACCAAATATCCCATGAGTCAGTGATGTTGGGACTTGCAGCTATGCCAGAGAAGCCAGCCAGTCTCGCAGAGAGACATTCACAGCACGTACATTGCAGGACCCTTCCCGAGTGCCTAGGAGCAGTTCACACTGGGAGTAGGGTGACCAGACAGCAAGTGTGAAAAATCGGGACAGGGGTGGGGGAGTAATAGGAGCCTATATAAGAAAAAGGCCCAAATATTGGGGCTGTCCCTATAAAATCGGGACATCTGGTCACCCTAACTGGGAGTGTCTGTGCCTCAGTAAGGTGAAGGCTTGTACTGACGCCCACAGCGCATTGCACCTTCTGCCTTGAGGAATCATGGCCTCAGCCGTGCGGCAGGGACCCCATCAGGGAGGTTTAGGGGGGCCGGCCAGGTGTAACGACACGCTGGGGTTAAAGCACAGTCGCTTACAGGAGCGCTGTGGGATTATCACCCCTCCGTGGGAGATCCGCTTTCGAAGCCCCCGCAGCTGCTTAGCGTCTCAGAACAGCTGGCCTCGCCGTCCCGTGCCGCCAGAACCACCGTCCACCGCTTACGCTGCAGGGAGCAAACAAAACCAGAGCGCCTGATTCACCCGCGCCAAATGTCGAAGATGATTGACACGGGCAACCACCAATGGGAGTCGAGAGTCGACAATAGCAAACGCGGGGCGGGAAGGTAGACCTCAGTAACGGCTGAGGGTTGCTAAGGGGAGCGGAAGGATAAGTAAGGCCAGCGCTGATTGGCTGCGGCTTTCCCTTTCTCCAACCAGGCACGCTGTTGTTGTAAGGCCGGTTGTGAAGGGATAGCTTCTGGAAGTGGAGATGGCCGTGGTAGCGGGGCTGGTCCCAGTCTGGCTGTAGTCTCCCCTCCTCAGCCTGCGCTTATGGCGCTTAGTTTCAGGAGAGGCCGGACGGGCCCCTTTGTGAGTATTATCCCGCAAGTCCGAGGGGGTCACAATCCAACGGAGGGGACCCCGGGGGCGTGGCCGGTGCGCGGGTGGACGCCCCCCGCAGTGCTGAGCAAGAGGCGGCCGAGCTACGTACAGTCCGGCTTTAGCCTGGCCCAGGTGGCCCCAGAGGCTGGACCTGCCCCTTCTGCACAGACCGTGGTGAACATGAAGCACTTCCCAGGCCCGTGACACCAAATCCCGTTACATGAGGGTGGCCATAGTCCCACGTAGGAGAGGCCTGGGCGAACCGTCGTTATCCCTCTTCCGAGTGAAAAGTTCAGCAGCATTTTCGCTTGTCTCTACTATCTGCTGTGAAAAGGGGAACCGTCTAAACCCTTCAGAGCAGCTGCTCTCCTCTCCCCCCCCCCCGCCCCGAGGCAACGTAAATCTCATCATGCCTGGCGCTAACCTGACGTTGAAATTGAGGGTTGGGTGGTTTGTTCAATGTTCAAAACCAGAAGACTCGCCCCAGGGTGCACTGGATGATCAGGGGGCGTTCTGCACAGGAGCGGTTTGGCATCTTGGAGGAGAGAGTAAATAAGGCCCACTCTCTCTTCACTCAGTTCTTTAACTACCTCTTCTCTCTCCTGCTCCCGCCCCCCAAATGCCACTCTGTGTACCCCATGGCCAATCCCAACCTATCATTCACCTTTGGGGCAGGAGAGAAGTGGGGATACCAATGCAGGCTGGGGCAATAACTACGTGTACAATGTAGTGATGCCTATAGACTTGTCATGCTGCCTGGACTTGTCCAGGAAACACATGTGCGCTCACCCAGCTTGTGCTGTTTCAGCAGCTGAGTTGATAATAGAAATTTAGATTGCAAAGACTGCTTGAATTCACAAAAAAACAGCACATAACTTTTTTTTTAAAACTGATTCGGACACATGCATTCTTGGGTTTCAGAGAACATTTAGAATGCACCTTAACATTTATTTTTTTCATTATGAGAATAAAAAAAACCTAATCATTCAGCTTTTTGCTGCTTTCTTGCTGCTCTGGTTGGAGTACTAGCCTGCTATTCACACTGTTACTTTTGCCTCTTAATAATAATAGGAAGATCTCTGTACTAATTACCAGACCATTAAATGTTTCACTTTAAAAAAAAAATGGGATGGGTCATGTCAATTCAGAACATTGGCTATTAAATTCAGGATCTGGAAGCAGTGGCCTCTACTTGATTATTCAGTGAAGGAGAGAGTTTCTCTATTGCACCAACTCAGGAGCTAGTAAATTAGTACAATTGCCTGAAAAGGCAAAATTCCTTCCCAATTTGTATAGCTGTCAATTTACTCCCGCATCCAGATAATAAAAGGACATTTAAGGATCAGAACAAATTCCCTTCAGCTGAAATCTTAAATACATACCCCCTTGTACTCCCCAAAGTAGTGAAATTTGCCCAAAGGGTTGGGCCCTGGTACAGCAAACTCCCTTGCAAAAGAGTCACTAGTGCTAGCTCTATTCAACTAGTACTAAGCATTACGCAAGTCTTAGGGGCTACTTCATAATATTTCCCCCCATTCAAACTAAACTTTGACTGGTTTAATTTTAATTTCTTTCCCCATCTCCTTATGTTGCTCTGTCTGGTGATCCCTTATGACTAACTGAAGAGGTAGTACTGATAGACCCTTCAACTAGTGGCCTCTATATAGTCATCTTCACTAGAGGAAGGATCACGTTGTGGTAATGTTGGGGAGGCAGAGTTTAAAAATTTTTGGAAGAAACACATTCTCTTTTGGCACCACTACCCCTACAGATGCACAAAAAGTAGTGGTGGTAGCGAGTGTGCAGTTTAGAACCTTACTTTTGTGAGTTGGGAGTAATGGGAGAAATACACTTGTGGGATTTGAATGAATCACAAACTGTTGCCTAGTGGTAACAATTATTAAAATTTAAAAATCGTATCTAGAATCTCTTGAAATCATCTATGGACATTAATTTGCATGTAAGTGTTCTCCCCTTTTGTGTTATTTTGTATAATGAGTGTACATGTTCAGTTTTGTGTTGTTATCCTTCAGATCATTGCCAACTAACTTTATTTTAAATTGTCTAGAAACATATAGCTCATGGCCTGGTCCCTGCTGCTACCATAGCTCCTAAACCTGCAGTTCCCCGCACCCCTCCCCCTCGTAGTCCAAACCCTTCTCCAGAAAGGCCCAGGTAGGTTTTAAAGTTACTTCTTTTTCCTCTCTTAAGTATCATTAGTTACAGTGGAATTACAATAATCAGTGTAGTAGAACTGCATGATTAGAATAATTGCATATCAATACTGTAGCTCTTTTATGTAAGCCTTTTCTCAAGCGGAATATATTTTCTGTATAGGACAATTTGTTTGTACTACTAAGATCTATATTATTCTCCCCTTCCCCCAAGCATTCTTAATACCAGAATAATGCCAAGGCCATATCCTGTAGCCTTTATGTACATGTAACTCCTATTGAAATTACTAGGAATTGTTACATGCAGAAGGTCTACTTTGGACTATTTTTTGTCTAAGTGGAGCTTGTTATAAGAAGATAAGAATGGCCCTACTGGGTCAGACCAAAAGTCCATCTATCCCACTATCCTGTCTTCCGATGGTGGCCAGTGCCAGGTGCCCCAGAACGAATGAACAGAACAGGTAATCATCAAGTGATCCATCCCCTGTTGCTCATTCCCAGCTTCTGGCAAACATAATTCCTCTTAATTCCTATAATCAAGGATGAAATACAGGTATGAAAAGCACTGTAATTTCTTGACAATTCCAAAAGACATTTATTTTATGTTTTGACAAAAGTTAATTAATGTGTTATTCGAGTACAGTAACATTAAGTGGCGGTTGTTTGAGTTTCCATTTTCTTGTAGTTAGTCTAGCAATACAAAAAATCTGTTTCGTGAAAATTGAGGCTCTGGATATTCAATATGTAATGAAGGCCAGCAGCATATCAAGCATTCTAAATGTAGACAAAGGTCCCTGACCCAGCAGCTTTAAGTTTAAGAATGTGATGCTGCTGCCTCCACACAGGCAAAATTCCCATTAGTTTGCTTACAGAGTGACTGCATTATCAGGCTCTAAATAAGAGCACCAGTACAAAAGAAAGCCCCAGTCCTGTAGTTGATCACATGCAGACAGGTAGGCAGCCTGACCCTGTGAACATGTGTACATGAAAAAAGTTGAGTTGAGTTCATAGGGGCTACTCATATGTATGTTCGCAGGATCAGGCCATTTAATGTTAAATAAACCTTGAACCTTGCCTTTTACACAGGCAGATTGATTAAATAGCCTGATTTTTTTGTTTTGTTTTAGGCCAAGTTCATGCCAAGCGTAAGCAGTCAAAACTTCATAAATTTCAAATAAGTTGCTTACATTTGTGCTGTGTTTGGATGAGTAATTCATTGAAAAATTAAGTTTAATTATAAAATCTTTTTATTACCTGGCTAACCCAGGTAAAACCACTTTTATGGTTTATTAATTATTACCAGGAGTGCCCAGATTATGAAACACTTATTACTATATGTCTTTGCTTCATCACTAAAATAAAGTAGTTTCTGTGTAGTAAACAGCTATGATTATTTTGTTACTGGAGTTTTCAGTAACAATGGTCAATGATGGGATATTAAAAGTTACTACAGAGAACTTTTTCCAGAGGGTCTGGCTAGAGAATCTTGCCCGCATGCTTGGGGTTCAGCTGATCGCCATATTTGGGGTTGGGAAGGAATTTTCCTCCAGGGTAGATTGGCAGAGGCCCTGGAGGTTTTTCGCCTTCCTCCGCAGCATGGAGCAGGGGTCGCTTGCTGGAGGATTCTCAGCGATTTGAAGTCTTTAAATCATGATTTGGGGACTTCAACAGCTGAGTCAAGGGAGAGAATTCTTCCAGAAGTGGGTGGGTCAGCTTTTGTGGCCTGCATCATGCGGGAAGTCAGACTAGATGATCATAATGGTCCCTTCTGACCTTAGAATCTATTAGTATAATAGTACAATATTTTAAAATGGCAGATTTAAAAAAAAAAGAAGTCATGAGACAAGTTCATAGGGTTTTTATAGCTGCTTTCAAAATTTGACATACTTAGAAATTTTCTTTAAACTGCAAGCACTGATTGAAATGAGAGGTATATGATCAAGTAGTAGGTTTTTATTTGGGGAGAGGAATTTGTCATAAGGAGTGGAATAAGATTATTTTAAAAAAGATTGTTAAAGTAACTGCAAAAAAATGCAACCTCAGTTAAATCAGAATTTAGAAACCAAATTAAAATCTAAAAGAAAAAAATGTTGTATGACTGAATTAACACCAAAAAGCTGGTTTGAAGGAAAACAATAATAATAATAAAAAAAAAGCTTTCCTACTTCACTATACTTAGCTGCTGTCAGGACTAGTTTTAGAAGTACTGGTCTCCTCAAGTGAAGAATGCATTAATATCCCCACACTAAAGGGAAAAAAATCTTTACAGTTTATTAAAGAATTATGTAATTTAAAAAAATCACCCCTTCAACAGGTGCTCCTAAAATAGGTGTGAAAATAAGAAAATGAATAAAACATCCTTTGAGTTAGCAATGCAGACCCATGGTACCATATAAATGTTATAAGAAGTTATTTTTCTGTTCCTTTCCATTTTTAGTCCCCTACTGTAGTCCACTTTCTCTCCTTTCTCTACATTTTCCCTCACTCCTGGTAGTTGTTCTTCAGTCTTCTTTCCGTGTCAGTCCCCATCTGTTTCCTTCCTGTGTCTAGTACAGGGGTCGGCAACCTCTGGCACGCGGCTCGCCAGGGTAAGTACCCTGGCGGGCTGGGC